AGGGTTTGAATGCTGCTTTATTTTATGAGAATAAAGATCCTCGTACTTTTGTGTCCTTGGTACCTACCTCTGCACATACTGGTGATGGCATGGGAAGTCTGATATACCTTCTTGTTGAATTAACTCAGACAATGTTAAGCAAGAGACTTGCACACTGTGAAGAGCTTAGAGCACAGGTGATGGAGGTAATGAGTCAGCTTTTCAGCTTACCACTTTTTTCTTTTTTTAAAAGATCAGGGCTTCTGGGGTGGGGATATTTACTACTTTTCCATTTAGTGAATAGTGTCCATTGTACCATCTGTTTTACTCCCTTTGTAATAAATATTCTTAGGTTAAAGCTCTCCCGGGAATGGGCACCACGATAGACGTAATATTGATCAATGGACGTTTGAAGGAAGGAGATACAATCATTGTTCCTGGAGTAGAAGGACCCATTGTAACTCAGATTAGAGGCCTCCTGTTACCTCCTCCTATGAAGGAATTACGAGTGAAGGTAAGCCGAAGTGGTGATTGTTAACACAAGGGTTTTGTACAGTGTAGAAGTCCTTCTAAGATCAGTGCCTCATTGTGAGAACGGCTTGACATAGCACATAACACACACATCCCTCCCTTTCCTCATTTCATTTTTGATGTTATACAGAAGGGGTCAATTGTCAGAGTGGACATGTGTGAAAGTACCTATTTGCCAGCTTATGCTTACCTGAAAATTAAAGGACATTTTTTTGGTTCTGCCCTTCTGACTGGGAGCTCTGGTAGCATAATGCCTAAGGCACTAGACTGCTATCCAGAAGGCTGGAGGTTCAAACCCATCAGCCACAACTTGGAAGGTTGGGCAATCTACTTCCGTAGTGATACTGCCTCGGAAACCCAAAGAGGGGTCACTATGACTCGGGTCCAACTCGACGGCACATAACAACAGCAAAAACCCTTCTAACTAGTTTTACATTAACATTTTTTATTATGGAATAAAACATTCATACTGAAAAGCACACAAAAGTCAGAATAAAAATTAAATTTTTAGGAAACAGCCAGATCAAGAATGAGAACATTGCTGGCACCTCAGAAGGCTTCTACCTGCCTTTTCTTGATTATAGTTCTTTCCCACTCTCTTAGAGCTAATCATTTCCAATGTTTACAAGAGTAACTAACAGAGAGTTCCAGCAAGATGGCGGACTAGGCAGAAGGACTGCACAGACCCTCTTCAACAAAGACAAGGGAAACCACTTGACACAGACACAGAAGATAATCTTGGACCCCTGAGCCTCGAAGGGAATGATACAGAAGTAGACTAAACCCCAACTAGCAGAAGAATTTGCGTAAAAATACCAAAAAAGGAGACATACGGAGCTGCGGTCTGGCAGGAACCTGAACACCCCTGACGGCACAAACGGCTTGGACATTCCCGAGTAGTGGTAGGACCTAAAAATTAACCTAAAAATCACCTGCTAGCCAGGGACTGCACTGACTGAGCACGGTGGCTGGGGAACAAACAGAGAAGGTGAAGAGAAAGGTGGGCTGAGCTGTGGACTTTTGCCGGTCCGGAGGGCGCCACCATTTTGTAGGTTTAAAAAGTGGCTTGACTATTTTGGATATTTAAAGAGACAGCGCTCTTGCAGATGCCTGTGGTGGTAGGACTTAAGAA